CTAATTTCGGTTCCATCATGCCAACTAATTATTTTGGTCATAGGTGGTTCTCCTTCAAATTTGAATGTTTCTGGTCTTTCGACGTGGAAAATGTTTCCTATTTATTCGTTCCATCTCTGAAGTATTTTTCCTTTCTTTGATGTTAGTGCCCTGTCCTTGTATTTTATGGATAATATTGATGAGTTTGTCTTTTGTCTTGTTGTCTTAATTTTATTTACCACCATAAATAACCCTCCCTGCCTCCTATCAACATGGCTGATGCCCAACTCCTCGCTGTGCCTGGCTGGTTCACGCTTTCCGCTGACCTAAGGTGAAACAATTACATTGAATCAATAGCTTCATCTACAGCAAGGAAAGCTGGTTCTCTGTGTCGCGCCAAAAGGTTTTTCTCACCTGAGTCCTTCCTTAAAATATACAAATCAACCATTTGTCCTTGCATTAGGCATCAGACTGTTTCGACGTCACTGTTTTGACTGGAGATACCCCCACCAAAAGATAAAAGCATTGAAAACACCCAACTTTCAATATGACTTTTTATTCATTTAGGGAATTAAGGATCTTATTAAAACACTAATGGAATAATGTAAATTAAAAATGTAATCTCATTTTACATCAATCTTTTTGTTCACATCGCCAAAATTTTAATTCAGGATCCATCTTATTAGTTTCGTCAAAAATAAAAGGGTATCCATCGTGCATCAATTTGTTTCTTCCACGTTTTGTTCAAATATTTGCTTCCATTAGGAATAAAAGGGATGTGACGACTGCACTGAAGAAAATATATTATACTTTTATATTATAAGGAGTGCTAGAGAAAAGCGATAATAAGAACAAAAATTGCAATATGAGCACTGGTAAAAATGATTGCTGAAGACATTAGGTTTGTAATATCTAGAAATTCATACACAGATGTCCACAGGGACAATAATAATTATTATAATAAAGTACAATATAAACTGTGTCCTTTCTTCTGCAAAAATTGCAATATGAACACTGATAAAAAAAATTAGCGCTGAAGCCATTAGGTTTATAATACCCAGAAATTCATACACAGATGTCCCCAAGGACATATGGCACAGTGGATAAAGGCGTTAGTTAGATCCAATGGCAGGACCCAAAGAGTGTGAGTTAAAGCAGTGGAGAACTTGGAGAGGGAATTAACAGGAGATAATTGATAACTGACATCCATTAAAACATGGCACGTGGAACTAGAACAGTCTACTCCAGTGAGCGAAAAAAGGGTTCACTTCGACATATATTCGAAATACTTCTTAAATATAAAAATGCCTGCAACTACTCTTTTTTCTTATATTGGACTATTCGAGCATATAATGACGAAGTACTAATTTGACTAATAAACGAGAGAGAGAGAGAGCAAATTTGACAATAAAGCCGAAGTAGTAACCTGACGGCTAATCGTCTCTATGAATAAAAATACCTATGAAGAATCGGCCACGCCTAATCGGCCACGCCAAATGAGCTACACCGGAACGTTCCATTCCCTATACAATCAACAGAGGATTATGCAACCGTCTCCATAATCTCAAAAAAAAAAAAAAATCGCGAGAGTATTTGAAACTAGCAGTTGTTGATACAGTAAAAATTAAATAAAATATCATTTTGATATTCTATACTGTCCAGTAGAGGTACGGTGGAGCAATGGATTACGGCTCAGATTGAGGAACCGGATATTCGAGTTTTAATTCCAGTTTGTATACATAATATTGACTTACATGTTTATATACTTGGAAAAGCTTTTAATCAATATCTCTCCCTTTTCAAACTATGGGCAAATAGCTAAACAGCCTGGGTTCTATAGCCTTGGGTGGCAACCTGTCTCTGAAATGAGGGATGGGCTCCGTCTGTTTATCTTGTTCTAGACACACCCCTTCTTCTGCGGCTCTAGTACATGTGGTGCCCCTTAGACACTCATGGGTTATGGGACTTGTGATCGTAATTGCTCAGATTTTAGATTTTACATTGAACATTGTAACGTTTGGCCAACTTGATAATATTTTTTTGCAAACTTTTTTTATTCT